CAGTTACTTCATTTAGGAAATGGGACTTGTGTTTCAACTTCCTGGAGATTAGGATCAGAATTAAACAGTTTTTTTAAAAAAGTTGGAAGATTTTTTAAAACTTAAAAAATAAGGGCCTGGTACGATAGCCTAGTGGCTAAAGTCCTCACCTTGCACGTGCCAGGACCCCATTCAGGTGTCAGTTCATATCCTGGCAGCCCTGCTTCCCATCCAGCTCCATGCTCATGGCCTGGGAAAGTGGTAGAGGACAGCCCAAAGCCTTGGGACCCTGCATCCGTGTGCAGCTTCTGGTTCCTGGTTTCAGATCGGCTCAGCCATTGCGGCCACTTAGGGAGTGAACCAGCAAAAGAAAGATCTTCCTGTCTGTCTCTCCTTCTCTGTGTATATCTGAATTCCCGATAAGAATAAACAACTCTTTTAAGAAATTAAAAATAATAAATCAGGGAGTCAGCATTTCAGCACAGCACACTAAGCTGCCACTTGCAACACTGTCATCACCTCTCAGAGCACCAGCTGTGGTCTCTGTCGCTCCACGTCTGAGCTGTAAGGTGCCTGGAAAAGCAGCAACACATATTGCAAGTACTTGGTCCCCTGTCACCTAGATGGTGTAACATGTAGTTCCTGGCTCGGTGCTTCAGCTTGACCCAGTCTTGGCTAGTACGGCCATTTGGGGAGCAAACCAGCAAATGGAAGATACCTCTTCAACCCCTCTATCATTCTTTCAAATAAATCAAATAAGTCTTTACCATGTTTAATACTTGCTATAATAGAAAGTTTTCTAAACAAGAAGTTGAGTGGGGCCAGGATTGTGGGATAATAGGTAAAGCTTCTGTCTGCCATGCCAGTACCTATCTCGGTGCCAATTCGTGTCCCATGTGCTCCACTTCTGATCCAGCTCCCTGCTGAAGGCCTGGGAAAGCAGCAGAGGATGGCCCAAGTACCTGAGTCCCTGCCACCTATGTGGGAGATTGGGATGGGGCTCCTGGGCGTTTTGGGAATAAATCTACAGATGGAGGATCTGTGTATATCTGCTTCTCTCTAACTCCAACTTTCAAACAAATAAATACATCTTTTAAAATACCAATTATAAGTTAGGTGGCAGAAGTATTGAGAGAGATGCTACCACAAAGCACTAACTCCTGTTAGGTACAGCTGGTGTGAGTGGACACTGTGACCTGTGTCTGGGGTGAGTGCCAACACCCCACACCTGGCTGAGGTGCAGTGTGAACAGCACCCTGCACGCAGCAGGTGTGCTCTGGCTTCTTACTTGGGGGGTGGGAAGGAGCAGTAAGAAAGGAAAATAGGGCAGGCACAGGGTGCAGTAGTTGCGTTTCTACTCGGGATGTCTACATTCCATGTTGGAGAACTCCAGTGCTCACTGTTCCACTCCGGACCCAGCTTTTCTCAATGCGCATGCTTGGAGGCAGTGAAGGTTGGCTCAGTTCCTGAACGTGGGAGGCTTGGATGCAGTTCCTGGCTTCTGACTTAGTTCTGCCTTAATTCTGGCTGTTTGAAAGCATCTGAGAAGTGGACAAGTAGACGGGAGTCTTTCTCTTTCCTCCTCCCCCCTTGCAACTTTCTCCTTCCCTCCCTCCTAAATAAAATGTAAAGAAATTTAAGTAAATAGTACAAAACAAAGAAGGAGGAGGAGGAGAATGGACATGTTCCAGAAAAGTCTGTTAGAGTCAAAAGCTGAGAGGAAGTGAAGTCCTGCTTCCTTGGGAACATCAACCTCTACCGGTCAGAGTTGATGGACACCGATTCTTGAAACCAACCTGCTTGGAAAAACATCTATGATAGAGGTAGCAAGGACACCTTGCATGGCAGACTGAATTTTGTGCCTCAGTTTCCCCAATGCTATGATGCCAAATAAGAATAATCTTGTGACTACCTCATAATATCATTGTAACAACTCAGTAAGATATTACATTTAAAATGGTGCTTACTGCATATTAAGTAACCAAATGTTAACTAGTATTGTATAAATAATACCCTCCAATAATAAGCAACACCCACATCTCAGTGTGCTAATGAGAGATTCTGCCAAAATATTTGTTCAGGATGGTTCTATCAAATATTAAACCAGATCTAAGGTGTTATACTTAGAAGTGCCTTTTAATTTTTGTTCTTCTGTCTGTCATTTTCACTAAAGAAAAAGAAAATCATGGGATGGCCATTGTGGTGCAGTAAGCTATGCTGACTCCTAGGATCCCAGCATCGAGTATCAGAACAGCAGTCTAAGTCCCAGCTGCTCCACTTCGATCCAGTTCCCTGCTAATGCAACTGGGAAGGCAGAAGAAGACGGCACAAGCGCTTGGTCCTTGCCACCTATATGGGAGACCCTGTTAGAGTCCTTGTTAGAGTTCAGCTTGGATCAGCTCTGGCCATTATGGCCATCTGGGGGAATGAAGCAGTAGAAGGAAAATCTCTTCCCTGCTCCCTGCACTGCCTTTCAAATAAATAAAAATAGATCTTCTGAAAAAAGTGTCTATTAACAAAATAAAGCCTTGAAAAAGAAATCACATACTCTTGGGATAGGGAGTACTGATAAAAAAGCAATGGAGCTCCACCAGTTTTTATTTTATTCCCAAGCATCAATAAGCTTGCATACTAGTACATATATGTAAATGCCATAAAATCTATAGGTTCAACTAGTGTAAAAGGAGATGAGGGGCCAGCTCGGTGGTGCAGCAAGCCAGGCTGCCCCACAAGGCTGACATCCCACAGCAGCACAGGTTCAAGTTCCAGCACTCTTACTAATCCACTTCCCTGACAATGTGGCTAGGAAAGCAGTGGAAGACGACCCAGAACCGGGCCCGTGTTGTCCACATGTGAATAGAGAGTCCCGGGCTCCTGGCTTTGGCTTTGACTAGCCCTGGCACTGTAGCCATTTGAGGAGTGAACCAGCAAACACAAGATTCTGAAGCTGAAATACTTTGCTTTTACTGTAAGACAATCAGCATGACAACATTCCTGCATTCATTAATCTCACTAAAAAATAGGTGACTACAATGGTAAAAGCCCAGGGGTGACAAGTCCTTTTGACATTCCTGCGAGGGCCCAGCAGTAATCTCACGCCGGGCAGCCCTGACAGGTTCCCAAAGGCACATTTACACACACCAGCACACCCACCTGCTGCACAACAAGCCCCTACAATGGTCCACTCTGCTCCTCGCCCAGGCTACAGGTACAGGGATGGAAATGGGCAAACACAGCGGTGAAATGAAACCCACTCCAAACAGCCCTGCATATCCGCGCAGGTTGTCAGCACAGTCCCTGCTCTGGCCTCTCATTCACTTCTTTGCATTTCAGCTTCATCTGGTATCTCCCCAGGCTTTTCATCCCATGACAAACTCCGGGCCCTTTTTCAGGTAGCATCTGTCGATTAATCACTCAAAATTCAAAACGTAACAGCACCAAGACAAGAACAGAGCTCTCCACAACTAAGCAAGAAAAAGCAACATAGCAACGGCTGCGTCGAGCCAAATTCTCAAGTGAGTTGAGACTATGAGCTTGTTTTATTCGAGTATATCTGGAGGAATTCTTCTTCGGGTCATTCCTAAGCAGAGAAGGCTAACTTCCCCTCTCCTAGCCCCAGCCTTCTCACCTACAGAGGTAGTATTGCTGCAAGCTTTTCAAACTTAAGACTGACCACAAAAGTAGAGAATATATAAGAAGTGCCTAACAGTGCCAAGCCCATAGTAGGAGCTTGAGAAACATGTATGAAGTTGGACTAAATCTTATGGTTGAAGAAATATATGAGTTCTGTAACAGGATACACACCAAGAGAAAACGTAAAACTCAAAATTGTAAATTAGGTATCTTGGAGTTAATTAAATGCACATCTGCCTACATACAGCAGTTTTTTACACTAAAAACAATTTTAAAACCATTTTGTGACAATTATTCTAAATTCTAGCTGAATACATCTCACAAAATGCCCAAAGTACCAATAGTTTGGGCAGGTGGCTAGAAGATGTCTGCTTTATTTAGAGAGAAATTGGAGTTTTTACATTTTTAAATATTTAAATATTCTAAATATTACAAAGCAAAGAGACTAAGTAGGGTTACATAGACAGCCAGGAGGAAGAAAGGGAGGCAAGCAATTTTTCCAGAGAAGAAAAGTGGAGAGAGCAGAATGGGGCAGGCTTTAAATCCGGGTGACGTGGAGGACGTGGATCCCAAGAGGGATAGTAAGTGCACCATCACTCAGCATGCCCTTGGAGGTCCCTGGCTGACAACAGCTCTGTACAAAGGGAACTGCCAGGGGCCAGCCTGTGGCACAGTGGTTTGGGCCTCTGTTTGTAGTACACTGGTTCATGTCCCAGATGCTCCACTTCTGGTCCAGCTCTCTGCTTGAGGCCCAGGAAAGCAGTGGAGGATGGCTCGAGTCCTTGGGCGCCTGAACCCATGTGAAGACCAAAAGGAAGCTCCTGGCTCCTAACTTTAGATTGGCTCAGCTCTGGCCATTGTGGCCATTTTGGGAGTGAACCAGTGGGTAGAAGACTCTCTCGCTCTCTCTCTCTCTCTCTCTCTCTGCTCCTTTTTATAACTCTGCCTTTCAAATGAAAACAAGCAAGTGAACTTCCAGGGGCCGGCACTGTAGAGCAGCATGCTAAACTCCTGGCTGCAATATCAGCATCCCATATAGGGGCACTGGGTTCAAGTCCCAGGAGATCCACTGCTAAAGCACCTAGAAAGCAGCTCAAGATGGCCCAAGACATGGGCACCTGTCACCCATGTGAGAGTCCTGGATGGAGTGTCATGGTTTCAGCCAGCCCATGCATGTAGCTATTTGGGGAGTGACCCAACATATGGAAGATCTCTCTGTCTCTCCTTCTCTCTCTCTCTCTGGACATAAACAAATAAATAAATAGATAAACAAATAATAAATCTTTTTTAAAAAGTGAAATTCCATTTTGAGTCCTGGGATAGCTATTTTCTTCAAGAAGATGCAAGAACTTGAATTATTCAGGGACCACTGTGCACGGTACACTTACCAGCTGGTTCTGGTAGGCAGTGACCGCCGTGAAAACCGTTTCTGGAAAGATGAAGGTCCTGAATTCTTCAGACTTTAGGTTGAGCAATGAGGCCGTGTGGTCTTTCTTTTTAATGATGTGTACCCGGGGCTGGTACTTATGCATTGAATTCAAAATTATCTGCAAGAAAAAGCGGGGAGGTATTGAGCTTTACCTGTTGGCTGCCAAACAGGCCCAACTACAAGGTCAAGAAAGAACCACAAATTAAACTATCTCAAGTCTGATTTCAAGATGCGGAATGACCAAGGCAAGTTGTTTGCACAAGATCCTGTAGAGGCATCCTTGTGAATCACATTTTATCAAAAGCAGCACAAGCGACACACGTGTCAAGTGTCCTTGCCAGCAGGATGGGGGGACAGGGAGCTACCAGGAGAGCCAAAGCTCTGCTGATTTATTTTTTAAATGAAGTCTTTAAAATATTTTTTATTGGGTAAAGGTGATGAGGTGTAGTTGGGCCAGCTGCTGCCTGGGATAACACATCTTAGTGTGTGGGAAGTTTTTTGCCTCCACTTCTAAGCCAGCTTCCTGCTAAGACACTCTAATACATTTGGCGTGCCACAGATGATGGCACAAGGACCTGGGCCCTGCTTCTGATGAGGAAGACCCAGGTGGAGTTCTCACCTCCTGAAGTCAGCCTGGCCTATTCTGTTCTTTCCCTCTCCTTCCTTTTTATTCTGCCTTTCAAATAAACATAACAAATGCATGAAAATGTTTTGTTGTTTAGTCTGATTAGACCAAAAGATGCATGTCTAAATTTTCTAAAATAACCAAATTATTATTTAGGTGGCGGGATGGGGGTGGAAGAAGATAAAATTAACCCATTCAGAAAAACAGTGTGGTACTAGATGGGTGTGGGTTAGAAGCCCCTCTCTGCCCTTTTCTAGCTATACAGTCTTGAGCCAAATGATGTCATCCCCAACCTCTAATTTGCCTAAATGCAAGGTAGTACTACCCTCGTAGGACTAGAGAGGTCTAGAATAAGTAACCCTTGTGAAGTACAAATGAAACAGGCAGCCCTCAAGGAATATAACATTTATTATTATTTATGACCATTTCCTTGATTTCTAATATCCAGTTACAAAACTAAACTTGAATCTTTTGAGTTTGGGTGGGGATTGGAAATGGTGATTTTTCCATTCTGTAACTAATAAAATTGCCAAATACTCAGAGATCATAAACAGATCCTGTTCAAGAGAGCCAAGAGATTATATTTTCATATATCTTATAAATAAAATATAAGCATTTGCCAGAATTGAATATGAGCAACAAGATTCACATTAAGAGAGAAGGAGTTTCCCACATCTCCCCTGCTCCACGCAGACAGTCACCTAAGCCTGCAATATGGGTGCTGTCTTCCCTGGAACAAAGGAGTACAGCTCACTCTGCCAGGGCCCAGCCCTCGGGCAGCTTCCCCAGGTCAGGGCAGCAGGGCCAGCCCTCACTCCACCCCGGCAGCTGATACCCGGATCCCCCGTGATGTCTGCTAACACAGCCATGGCAGAGCAGCGTCTCTACTAACTCTCAAGCCGAGTTACATCCTAGTCACCAGGAGATGGCTGACCTATGAACCAACTAAAAGCTACAGGAAATGAACCGAGGCTGAATCTTGAAAGTCACTTTGTTATGACCCCAAACCACAACAGGAAATATGTAAGACTTTCAAATGAATTGAAAAGGACTTTTTCAAAATGGTAACACCCTCTCTTTGCAGACCTAGTTGATGCCATGTTAGTTCAAAATATTGATGTTCAATCATAAAACTGGAATAAAGTTCAAGTAACAAAAGTAAAGGTTTGTTTCCCAGTACTTAGAAAAACATTTACTACTCCTTATATGTTCTACTGTAGGAAGATTTTTCCAGTCATTACTCCACCCACCTGCACATACACACACCACAATTTTTTAAAAGACTGAATAATTTCTACCACCACCCTTCCTTCTACCCCCTGAAGTTCAAGTTTCTTTGGGAAAAGCTGCTAGAAGCACTCAAATTTCCAATACAGTGATACTATAGTCTCATACATTTACAGCCATCACCATAACTGATTTTAGAACACACTCATCATCACACACAGAACACAAGCCCAGCATGCTTTACCTACCACATGCCTACTTTCCCACTTCACCATCAGTCCTGCACAATTACTAACTCTTTCCTGTCTACCTGTGCTCTTTCTGGCTGGATACTTTTGCTTAATAATGTTCCCAAGGTTGATCAATGCTGTGGCATTCATCTTTGTTTCAGTTCTTTTTATGTTTGAATAAAATCATGATGTAAATACACCATCCCCCCTTAGGCTGCACAGGCCTGATAAAAAGGAGGGGGATAAGAAGGACAATTATTACCTAATAATATGTAACCCATAGGTTTTCTGGCAATGGAGGCCAGAAAGAGTTTATTGTTATTATCCAAAAAAAGTATTCAAGTCTGTCTAAAGTTTTCTAGTTGAAAATCTAAAGTGTATTTTTATGTGAATCTTTACTTAACGGTGTGGAATCAAAACCCAGACAGTGCTTTCAAAAGGAATTTTATCTGGGTGTTTGGCACTCCAGTGAGGATGCAGCCTGTGAGCCCTGTATCCTGTATCAGCGTGTCTGGTCCAGGTACCAGTTGCTCTGCTTCGGATCCACCTCCCTGCTCATGCACATCCGAGGCGGTGGCAGATGATGGTTCAAGTATTTTGGCGCTTGTCACTCACTTGGCAGCGAGCTGGACTGAGTTTGGGGCTCCTGGCTTTTGCATGCATTTGGGGGAGTGATACAACAGACAGAAGTCTTCATCTTTCTGCCTTTCAAATAAGACTGAAAACAAGAAATATTTCCAAAAAGGAATCTTACAGAATATGGAAGAGATTTGATCAAAGAGTATTTGCTCTACCGATTATTGGAAAGACCTCAGAGTTCTAACTTCTTTTTTTTTTTCATATTTAATAGAACTCATTGATACAAGCTCAGATTCATTTGCCTTGTTTTCAACTGCAGGGCTGGCTTTGCTATGCTTTGATATTCATGCCATTCTCCATAAAGAAATACTGTATCACATAGGAACACATTCTGTAGAACACACTTTGGGAAAACTTTTAAAGAAATCTCAGCTCACCCTTTTTATTCTGTGTTATCTGGCAAACTGGCAGCAGAAAGTTGCTGCTTAACTCCAGCATCTAATCCAGCAGCTTCCAAAAATGCAGATTCCCTTTGCTTACCTGGCCTGGGTACGAAGGCAGGCCCTGAGGTCTTAGGAAATCCATGATACAGAAAATCCCTACCTTGACTGCATGAAAACGCACACAGCACACCTGCGAACCATCTTTATTTTAAAAACCTGTACTTCTTTTGGAACCAACACCTTTTAACTGATAATTAAAGGCATATTTTAAAATTCAGCAAAAAGAAGTTAAAAAGACAGCAGTTCTGCAAAAATAGAAGCAAAGGCAATCAACAATCATCAGATGAAAATGTGTCAGCTCCACACACACACATGCGTGCTACATTTTAAAGCAATCATAGATCATGTAAATGACATCTTGACAAAAGTAGTCAAGGTCCCCCAAAGAACATTCTCTTAGAATGACCTCGAGGTGGGAAGGTGGAAAGCAGTAAGGGAACAGACAAAAGGACGAAGAGGGGGCAGTTTTAAAGGCCCAGCCCAGGCCAGGGGACCAGACTTACGTGGCCGTGCTGATCCAGCTCGTTGTTGGTGAGTTTTACCTTCTCAAAAGACACCATCTGTTTGAGAAGCTGCTCACCGGTGAAAGGAGAGTCTGGGTGCACATAGAGCCTAAGAAAAAGGCAAGAAAGTTCTACTGAGAGCTTGGAAAACCATGTGGCTATGGGACTCTAAAATGCTGCAACTCCAGAGAAACACCTCATGGAAAAGATCAATTTTATTTGCTCTGTGTATCTATTTATGAATAAAGCAATGTCAAAATAAGTCCTCCGTATCTAATAGATTTCTTCATGGAATAATAATACACCATTTGCCATCTGCTGAGTGAGCCGTGTTTTAAAAAAAAGTGGGACTTTTATTTCACCTATGTGATCAGCTAGGGTGTCAGCTTCAATTCATTACAAAAATCTTACAGCTGTAGGTATTCCTAACAGAAAGATGGTGATGCTAATGACAGAATGAGTTCCTGTTATAATCATCGAGAAAAGGCAACAAAATGAAGATTTAGAAAATACAAGAGATTTAAAGAGCTCATTTTGTTCACACTAAAAAGTGTCTTGGTTTGAGGCATATGCTATTTACAAACTCAAGACAGAGGAATTTCACTTCAGTGGAGAACTCACAGTCCACAGAGCAGAGTTGACTGTTGTTCCCCGCTACTCACAGTGGTTTAAGGGCTCACTGAGTGTGCGCTAAAACAAACTAGATGAAGTTCTAGCTGTTTGAATTGTAAACAGCTTAAGCAAAATAAACAAACAAAAACGTGTGAGGGCTGCTAAATGCAGAATAAGGTGCAGGTTGGCACCAAGCATCTCAGAGTATGAGTTTGAGTCCCAGCTGTTCCAGCTGTTCTACTTCGGATCCAACTTCCCTCTAATGTGACTGGAAATGCAGAAGGTAGCCCAAATGCTCAGGTTCGTCTGCCCACGTGGGAGACCAGGAGGAAGTTCCTGGCTCCTAGCTTCATCCTGGCATAATTCCAGCTACTGTGACCATTCGAAGAAATCGGCTTGGAAGACTGATACCGCCCCTCCCTTCTCTTTCTGAGAGTGCGTGTATGTGTGTGTCACTGGACCTAAATTTACTTATTTTGTTAAAAAGTGTTTGAGGGAAAAAAGACCTCCACCATTTATGAATCAGTTCCTGTTATCTGTTACCCACGACAATCACGTTATGAACAATTCTTTGTATATCCCAACCCTGGCATCTTCTTTACGTAAACCTTTCTGAAGTCTCAGAGCAATTACAGACCAATAGTGACGATGTGAAATTTTCATTTTATTAGGACAAATACCCTTGTCCATTTAACAAATTCTTTGTATCTAACTTTTATAAGAACCTTCTAACTAAAACAAAACCTGTTACCAAGCGAAAGAAAACAGATAAAAAAAATCTTTCCTTGAAATGCTCATGTAAAACAGAAGCGCTCTGTGTCCTGATTTGTTGCCCGGACGATCAAGAGCAAAGGACTCACATATCCACACCGAGTCTCACAGGGCACACAAGGGGCAAAACCCAGAACAGGCCAGCAGCACTGGAGTCTTCCCAGGGCACCGGGCAGCTCTTCGCACTGCAGGGGCTGTCTGCCCCATGCTGTCCTTGCTTTTAAGACAAGTGCTCATCACTGCCTTTTAACTACTCTTTGATAGCACAGTCACAAGAACTTTAAAAGTTTCATTTCTTCCAGGCTATAATTTTATGATTACAGCTATTTACTGAACAGTACCACCCCCTTTAAAAAGCCCAAAATTATCCAATTCAGAAGTTCATTAATGTTCCCTCTGTATCTCATTTACCATATTAAAACTAAATTTTTGATATTAATTTAAAAGAAAATTATATCCTGTACAAAAATATAGCATCAATTTATATAGAAAATGTAAGCATAACTTTTTTTCTGATTAGCAATGATCAACAACTTCAGTCTGAGATAAAAATGCCTCGGAGACCTCGAAACTCAAGGAATTTCTATCAACACAAAGTTCTCATCTCATGTTCTCCTTTCCTTTACACAGACAGAAAATTCAGCAAACTGTTTAATAATGAGAAAGAATGGTTACACAAAATAATCTAGAATATTCCTATCCCATAATGCAGTAAACATTTTTTATCTACTGTCAATACAAACAAGTTAAATGGGGGGTAAACGCACACAGGAAGCCACTCCCCTTTCACGTCCCCCAGCGACTTAAAATTCCAGCAATAGCTTACACATGCTTCAGTTAAGATAGTCTATGGCTGCGCACTTTCCTTCTCTAACCAGAACAGATTAGTAACATAAACAAGACATGTCATATTTCCAAAGTCCTGCCGGCCCGCACCAGTTCCCATACCTTCAGATAGGGGGAAAATGTTATGTTAAATAAGGCTGACTAACTTCTTAGAAGAAGGACTGGGGGAAGAAATTTGCTTTTAAAAATGGTTAGGAATCTGCTACAATCTCTCTCTCTCTCCCCTCTCTCTTTTGTTCTTTCCCTTTCAGATTTAAGATGATACAGAAAAATTTAAAAGGAAGTTCAAGAATCCTAGTAAGTTGGTTAATTACTAGCAAGAAGAACAGAATATCAATTGTATTCATTTTCATGCCTGTTGTTAGCTAATGAATCAGGACTCTTATTTTTAACAAGTAGCAATTTTTAAAAGGCATTTTGTCCCCCAGTACAATTTAATTGTATTCGCTCATCTTCCGAACTCTTCCCTTCATGAGAATGGAAAACTGACAAATTACTTTTAAAATCTTCCTGAGTGCATTCAGCATCCTGAAAGATCACTGTTAATTAAGCTAAATATTCCAGCTGAGGTGAGCGTCGCCTGCGTTGACCCTGTGCCTTCATGGACAACCGAGCAGAAAAGATCTACACATTTACAGAAATCCTCAGCAGCTCTGGCGTTTCATGAACGTCCAACTTCAGAAAATTGGACAGTTGCAAAATAGCTTAAAAGTTACAAAGCTCATCTTCCTCTCTGTCTCTCCTCCTCTATGTACATCTGCCTTTCCAATAAAAAAAAAAATCTTAAAAAGAAAAAAGAAGTCACAAAGCTCAGTTTAAAAGTCTGAAATGCAGTTAGGGAAGAGTCTTGGTCTTCTCAGCTGTTACCATTCACTAAAGCACAAACTCTTTCCACCTGCCCCAAGAGGCTCAAAGGTCTACACGGGATTTTTCAGAGAGGGGTAAGATTGGGGAGGGGGGGTTCAACGGGTGTGGGGGTTGGGGAAGTGCAGGGAGTATTCATGGAAAAGCACTGTTAACAACGGCTACCGCAAAATAGGCATGTGTGTTCTCTAAACTCGATGCTTCCTGTAAAAGAATATTAAGCTATTGAATTACATTCATCTATTGTCCCATGAAGGAAAACAAAAAGTTTGCCTTTCAGATTTAAAACCAGAGCCCTTCACCAGTTACAAAATGACGTGATTATAGCAAAATGAGGTTTATTATGTGGAGGTAATGGTTCACTATTAGTGAACATCTAATCAAAACATATTAATATGAATGGATTTTAGGGTAATTATTTTATCTGTAATTTATGCTGCATAGCTTTTAGAAGCTAGTCAGAAATGACATATGTATATACCTACATCTGCCCATCTACAGTATAGTTCTAGATTGCTAATAAATCGCCATACCGAAATTTAAGAAAAACTTGGAAGTAAATTCGAATGGAAGATAAAATTTATTTTTCTCGGTGTGCAGACAGCCTCTCTGGGAAACTCATCTGCACTTTGTGTGGCCAACGCGGACCCTGCAGGTTGGGGAGTGTCTGCAGCTTTAAAAACAAACCCTCCTGAAACACACACGCCAGGGACAACCTGCCCAAGGGTTAACGCGCTGCGCAGCAAAAACTCCAGAGGAGGCACGCACCTGGCCGGCAGAGGAGGGTCGGCTTTGCCGGCCACCAGCCAGGAGGAGCGGTGGTAGGCGTAGCGGTACCTCTTGTTGTCCACGGGGACGATGTCCATCAAGACTATGTACTTGGCCTCGGGATCCACGCCTGAGAAGGACACCCGGATGGTGGGAAACATCCTCCTGGGGAGAAAAAAGACCCTGTCTGGTCACTAGGCCCCAGGACACTTAACGGAGATGCGGGGGGGGGGGGGGCATCCGGCTCCCTCCCCATCTATCTTGTCCCAGGGTCCCCTTGGGTTTTTAGCCTAGCCACAGCGATATGACTTTTGCACAAACAACTTTCAGCGTCCCCTTTAGTGGCGATCTCAGGACTCTGTTAAAGCTTTCTAGTACTGTTTTTAACATCCAACCTATGATTAGGAAAAATTCCGTGTTTGAACGATCAGCACACTGGCTCCCAGTGGAGCAGCACACCACATTCCAGCAAGGAAAAAAAAAGTGGACGAGGTGGGTTTCAGAGACTCCGCCACAAGTTTCCTGAGCTGGAGCCTTCCAGGCAACTGCTACAGCAGGGGGCATCTTCTTAAACTGGATAAAAGCCCCCACCTCCCGCTGTGTACCCGCTTCTCCAAAGATCCAGACCCAGCAGGAGCGGTGCAGAGCAGGGTGGCCCCACCGGCCCATCACAAGGTTGCCTGCGACAGAGCTGGGTGTCAGTCTGCTGTTCTTCCCAAAGGCAAATTGTCACCGAGAAGCAGCCGGGTGAAGCTAGGCCGCCGATGGAGAGCTGCACGCGGCCAGCTCTTCCCCACCACACTCCCCGGGCGGCCGCCCACCCCTGCCCTGCTACCTGCCCGACTTGGTGATGATCATCTCGGTGCCCAGCTCGTGGAATTTATCCCAGAGTTCTTTGGTCTCCAGGCTACAGGCGATTTTGGCCATCTCCTCGCTGGGGATGATGGGCGTGGTGGGAATGAGCGGCTCCGTGCAAAGAGAAGAGGCGGCAGGGCTGGCGCCACCATTTCCACCAAACTCGGCGTGAGCATCCAGGCTGGTCAGCTCACCCAGCGGCTGGGCGCAGGAGGACTTCTCCACAAATTGTTCTGGGGGCAAGGAAAAGGAAGAATGACAGCCAGTCCAGTCCCGGCAAATAGACTGGGAAGGAGCACAGCATCACCCAAACAGGCATCTGGTTCGGTCTCAGCGATGGGAGGTCCACACACTGCAGTGGGGCTGGACCCAATGCTGTGTAAAGGAACTGGAGTGGTAGGCCTGGTGCCTGCCCAATGAACCAAACTATCAAGGTCTAGAACTATGGTCTGACCACCAACACTGAGACTCCGCAAGGGAATACGCTCATGAGAATGGACCAAGTAGTGAGCACGGTGAAAATGCATTCTTGTCTGGATCTTTTTCCCATATCCAGCTGGAGCTCTGCCTGTTGGACAATCAGGGAGGACCCATCCTTGGAGGCAGAAGGAGTGATGAGAGATGGAGGGCAACTTCCCACTGAGAGGAACTGTGTCTTCCCTTTTCTTACAAAAAAAAAAAAAAAAAAAAAAAAAAGGAGCTAGGACTGCTGGGGTTGCAGAAACAGGGAGTGTGGCTTTAAGAACTCTCAGTTCTCAAAGTTTTCTCGGGAGAGTCAGCTGAGAACCCATTTCCAATCTCTCTCCAGCAGATACTGCCCCGCATCTGAAAACTCCTGGGCCCTTTTGAGGAGCAGGCTTAAAACCGTTACTGTTGCATGGTGCATGTAAATGTCTTTCTTGTTAAAAGGTCCTGGTATCAAGAACAACAATCCTGGACTCAGGCAGGTCGGGTATTAAAGTAAGAAAAATGCTTCGGTATCCACCATTGCCTGTGAACCAAACATTCTCCCCCAGTGCTGATAAGGGCCTGGGACTCCACCAGTCACTTTGATGGAATACAGGGGACTTTTGTAATTATCCCAATTATCTTCCACCCCTTAAAAAAGAAACTACTTGAATCAGCAATGTGAAGCTGATCTCTAAACAACTCGGTCCCAAGTGCCCTCAAGGAGCCCAAACAAGATCGAAACGTACATGTGTGTACAGCTGTGATGGTTGCCGTGCGTGTAACATCAGACTCCAAAGCACGGAATTGTCATTCTCATGGTCCCCCGCACCACCACCGCCAATTCAAAGAAAGGGAATCAGGCCAGCATAAAACCTTTCTTGTTCTACTACTTCCAGAAGCACACTCACATGATATCTATATAGGAAATTAGGGAGGACGACCAGCATTCCTCTGATTTTCTTTCCAGCAACGGGAAAGAAGCAAACTCCCTGTGCCCTGGAAGGATGAGCAGGAATGGAGGAGGAAGAAAATCAAAGGCAAAGGCTTTAGTGACCTCAGACAGACCCCCGAGGGTTGCTTTCATCAGCACGCGTGTCCATTCTCTTCTCACAGAACCATCGTGTATCTCTTCCACTCATTCAAGGAAATGAGTCCTTGGCTCATCACCCTTCCTTGACGGTGTCCTGCTGAACTGGCCAGCGTGATGGGCAAGCATGCCCGCCGGCTCTTTCCGAATCTTTCCCAAAAGCCAAACTGAACATGGAGACTGCAAGCTGAGGGTGCCTTTAGTTAGAATTGAGCAATAAGGCAGTTTTTCTTCAGAAAAGAGAGAGAGAGAGAGAGACCCAAGTTGACACTGCGATGGGAGCCAGTGTTTCCCAGTTCACTACCTTCACTTACAGTAGGAATCGAAGCCCGAAATCTTCCTGTCCTCCTTGGTACTAAACCGAGATGGGGCTGTGGGCAAGGACTTTAGAAATCCCTTCAGTAACAGTGGATTATTCTGGCAAGTGCCACCAGCCCAACTGTGAAATTGGTGACTCCTGCTTTTCTGGAAAGATCAGAATTTGGTCAGTGGTTTCCCTTTCTTTGGCAGGTTCTGAGTTAGATGGGGAGATCAGAACAGGGGACGGACGAAGGCAGGGAAACGGAAAACCTCGGGGGTGAGACTCCATTTTTATTTTCTTTTCCCTGGTTCTAATTTGCTACAAGAACTGGGGTTCCCTTTTCTCCACTCTGATCCTCTACTACTTTACAAAACCCCTTCCCCTTTTATGTTACTACTGTGGTTCATGCATGTTAAATTAATATGCCAGGAAAAGACGTGGAAAAGGCAAAAATCGGGGAGACTAACGGAAACGACCTGATGTGTTTTACAATTCTAGGAGTCCATCACAAGAACCCCGGTTTCCTCCCGAAATTCCCGGGTGCGTGCAGGGCAGCGTCTTTCCCACACAGCACACTGGCGCTAGGGAGGACAAATCTCTGACCGCTCCCCCCACCCCCGCGCCCCCCTTAGGGTCTTCTATAAATGGTAAAGTTTGTGAAATAAACAGTGTGGCTCAAATTTGAGGAATTTGGAAAATGGTTCCTGGTTAATGTTTTCATCATCCTCAGCTGCAAATGACGGTAGTTACCCGAGGCTGTTTCGCTGGCAACCCTGAAGCTTCTGTGCACGCGGGGCAAGTGAGAGTGGGCTGAGGAGCTGCTGCCTGAAGCTGTTCCACTCCGAGGAAAAACAGCTGACTGCTTTCTCGCAAAGCCACTAAGAGTCTGCTCGACTTCAGGTGCACAAGCAGGTGTAAAAGCACCATAAGCCTTGCCGAGTCTTAAAGTGTTATGTATCCCTAAGTGGGCTTTTTTTTTTTTCTTCATCCCAACAAACTTCCACAGTCACACACACACACACACACGATGGGGGTATTCCATGGTACCTCACTGACCTTCAAACCCGCAGAGAATAGTACATACAGCTGGCGACGCACGGCCACCGCCCGAGGGTCAGAAGCGCCACCAAGGAGCAGCGACAGGCGGCCACTCGCAGCCAAAGGCCAGCCGGACAGGAGGGGCACAGCTTGCCCGCGCCCTGCCCACGGCGGACAGCCAGGAAGCCAGACTCACCCAGGGGTTTGATGGTGTTCTCCGCCGCCTCCTTCTCCTTGGAGCCGCCGCTAGACATGAGCGCGGCGATGGAGAAGGCGTTGGCCCGGGAGGAGAGCTGGGGCTTGGGCGATGCCGTGAACTCCATGGCTTGCAGTGCGCGGGGTCCCGGCCAGGGACCGGGGCTGCCGAACGGCCGTGCAGCTTCCTCAAGGCAGACAAAGCCCCGAGCCACAAGGGCAAAGTTTCAGAGAAGGTGGTCACACCAGAGCCGCGGACTGCAGTAGGAAGGTGCCTTGCAGCCTCTCCAGGGCTCCACGCCGGCCTCTCCTCTCCCCACGGCGCAACGCCCGCCCCCAACCAGTCGGAGAAGGGGGCGCAAGGGCCGGGGAAAGGAGCCGGAGTGAAAGCCCAGGGCGCTAAGTAGAAGACAAGCAGCAGCTGCGCCCAGCCCAGGGGCCAGGGTCCGAGGCACCCCCCCGCCCCTCCGCGCCCTTCTCTCTCTCCCGGGCTGGGGACAGCCCGAGCGGCCCCGGCGGCAGGGAGGTGGGCAGCAGCCGCGAGGGTTCGGGCGTCTAGGAGCCGGAGCGCTGGTCGTGCGGAGCGCGGCCAGGCGCCACGGACACTGCGCCCAGGGGCTCGCGACCCGGCGCCTTAATCGGCTGCTGGCGGCGCAGCCCGAGGCCCACAGCCAGTCAGCGCAGCCCCACGTCACCGCCACCCGACTCGGCCGGCCGCCGGGGGCGGGGCCGCGGGCAGGGCGGGGAGGGCGCACACAGGGTGCGGCGCCCCGGCGGCCAAGGGCAGCCCCTCACCGCGCGCGTGGAGGGGAGAGGGCACCTAGATCCTGGCTAGGGAGCCGGGAGCCAGGAGTGGCCGCCTTGGGGAAAGACGTTAAGAAACCTCCAGGGATCTGCACTTGATCGGTTCGGGTGCAAACTCAGAACTCCCAAGTAGCCAAAGAAAGTTGGAAAGCGCGAATAATTGCTCCGGGGCACACCTGCCGCGTCCAAAGTAGGTGCAGGTGCTGGGGCTGGCACGGAGCGAGTTGGAAAAAAAACGGCGCAGCCCCTAAATAGACAGACTTTGGCAGGGATGGGGGAGCTGCTCTCCAGGCCGTTTCGGAGAGGGACTCGGACTGAAAACCGATGGAAAGGCGAGGGTCGGGACGCGGCGGCCTGCGGGGACCAAGCGACGCACGGCAGGCGAGGGCGAGCCTGGCGGCGTCCGGGCTCGCCGGACACGCAGTCTTCTGTCTTCGCGACACGGACTTCCCACGGCTCTGTTGGCGGGTGGAGGGAATACTGCAGGGTGGCGTCCGGTCCGCCTCCTCAGCCTGAATAACTCAAATTCTCCGAATTCGCGGGGTAATCCGCTTCACTGGGAGCCGTGTAAACTCAGGCTGACATACACACTCGTGCGGTACATGTAAATATTTGCTCTGCGCTCCAGCCAGTCCGTCTGGCGATTAGGGGCCTCTTGGTGGGTCTCTTTAAAAAAAAAAAGTTCCTATGCCCTATCGAACGGCCACCCTCTGGTTCTTGGAATCAAGTTATGGTGGGGGGGGGGGAAGGGGGACGCAAACAGTGAAACTGGCAGTTGACAAAAACACAATGGTGACACGTGGGAAGAGCGATGGTGCATCGTCGCCGCGGCTTAACTAGGCGCTGGATAGAGGTAACCAAGATCGCCCGCGTAGACCGCTAACCCAGCGCTAGCGTCGGTGTGTGCTTGGGCAGTTCTTCAAAGCACAATATGGTGCTGGAAGGAATTAGCGCAGGAGTTGGACACATCTCTATTCGCTTTTGAGAGGGAAAGAATAAATAAAAAATAAACAGGTCCCTGCATGACACAGAGGCCACCAACCTGCCAGACTGCCTGCCCCAGACCGGAATGCAGAACTCACCCTGGGGACCCTGCCCTGGCTGGCCCTGCCAGCATCAGGGCGTTTAGAGATGATACACTGTAGAGTTGACCCGGCTGTGAACAGAAGCCATTCTGATGAGACGGCGGCCCGGAAGAAACAGCAGCTAAGTCACTTTCCCAAGCTTGAGCCCTTTGCTGTTTTTTGACAATCCAGACCCAGAGCAGACCCTCTTCTCACCCCATTCCCTCCTTCTCAATGTCATAGTGACCTTTGCTCATTCCTACTAGCAGTCCTGGAGGCTTCCCTACAGAAGTGTGGGGCTTGTTGGGCTGGGAGATGGGGACGTGGAGACAGGGTGGTCCTTGAGAGCCATGCTGCGCGAGTGGCTTTATACAACAGGGCCTTGTGGAGCTTCTTGGCAAGGGTTTTCCAAACAGGTGTGCAAATATACCTTAACTAAACAACAACAACAACAACAACAACAACAAAACCAAAAGCACTCTGGTGTCTCTAGGCATAGGAAAAGCCCTGTCTTTCCTTAATGATCTTTACAACTCAAACTGTGATTCAAGAAATGTTACAAGAGGGATGCTCGCAGAAAAATGGAGACAGCAAGGAAAACCTAACGAAGCCATTTCTACCTTATCTCCAGGTGTCTATGTAGCCTTAGCCCAGTTCTTAGTCTGTGGGCAGAAAACCCTGACAGTTCATCAAGTTAAAGGTAAAATATGAGGCAGGGAAAGCTAAGCAAGCAGCGAAGACAGGCGGTACCCAGAGGGACTGTAAAGGTCCTTTGAACCCAAACTGAGCTGTTTGGGCATCTGCAAGTGATGCATCTTGGTGGTGTTGAAAATGCTGCAGTAAAACAATCTGCAACATTATTACCGGGGCACGCTCTCCCTCCCCCTTAGATTTACTGCCTCTGCTAATCAATATGGTGCTATAAAAACCTGGGAGCCAGGGTTTGGCAGAGAGGAGCAGTCCCAGAGTGAGCTGGAGCCAGGAGCCTGGGCGGCTGGTTTTGAGCCTTCCTCCCTCCCCCCAACCCCCGCTGGGAGTGAGTGCCAACAAGGTATAAAATACCACCCTGGGTGGGGCAGGGAGGTTAGAACCAGCACTCGAACACCCCCCTATTCATGTCCAGCCACAGACAATAGGAATTTGGTGCACTAAACTTGGAGAAGGCTTTGAACTTCTGGCTTTTACATGGTTTAGCCCAGAGAACTTGGTGGTAGAGTACTATACCGCTCAAAATCTTAATTTCCAGTAAAGAGGGCCAATAGTATATTCTTCTGTGGATTCATGCAGCAAGCTGGGTAAAAACACCTACACTTTAAGTAACACCAGTTGCCACAAAAGTAAGTACAAGGGAAGGCTGCATTTTAATTCGTAAGTGATTTTTGGGCTGCAATTTCTCGCGCGGGGGGGGGCGGGTGTCTCACGCCTGAGTAGCATGTTTTTGGAGCGGTCCCCGGCAGCAGGGCCACGTGATGGCATCCCACGGCAATTTACCTGCTGTTCCACTCCGGAGTTCAAAGCGGTGACATTTGTTTTTCGTCTGAATTTGTTATGTAGAGTTTGCTAATTACACTTGACTAGTTAGAAGCCTTGCTTATACTACTGGAGTTGCTAACTGTTGTTGTTTTTGTCCACCCCTTAAAGTGCTCAGCAAGCAATCGGAATTTTCGCTTAACGAATACTAACACAGACGTTTCGTTGGGAGCCGCGGGGACCGAGCTGCGATCGGTCTCGGTCTCACCGACCGTTTGCCGGAGTCGAGGCCGAGAGCTGCTCTGGGATCGCGGGCCGCGGGCGTGGGCAGCGCGGAAAACAGAAGACCTACTTCTCTGGACGCGGGTAGCTGCTGTCAGCAGGTCCTCGGCGGCTTTTCCGCTCCCTCCCTCTCGCCTTGAAAAGCAAATCTTGTTTCTCTGCAGGACCCCGGTCCCTAAACCCCGCGGGGAGCACGCCCTCCAGCAGTGCGATCTAGTGCCTTGGAGCAAGCGCGCGGCGAGAGGGCGAGCCTTTCCTCCGCCCAGCCCAGCGGTCTGTACTTGCATGCCAAGGGGAATGAAGTTTTCTGGAACTCCAGTGGTCCTGAAAAAGTGCCTCCTCCCAGCCCAGCCCGTAAACTGACCCCGGAGGCACAATCCGATTGTTCCTCTGCAGACAGATCCCAGAGCGGTGCCGCTGGAGTCGGTTACCAGACCCTACGCTCGCGCCCCGCAAGGACACTGAGGGAAAGTGTCCAGGCCTGGGACAAAGGCAAGAGCGCAACTCTCTAGGGCTGGGGTCGTTAGCAGGCCCAGGGAGACGTCCTCCGGGCTGGACAACCAGCGGCTCAGCTCGGCTAGCGGCGGCTCCCAAGTAGTGGCCTCGCTCAGCCTCACGCGTAAGGCCCTGGAGTCCGCGCGGGAACGCCCGCATCCTCACCGCCTCCTGCTTCCCTGGCGCTAGGCTCCTAGGCCAATTCGATGGCCGCGGCCTCCTCCTTTCCCATGTGCCCACGCCGGGAGTGACAGCATGATTCCAAAAACTGCAGAGAAAACCCCTGCTCAGTGGGAAAAGTTACTTTTTCCCTCCTGCTAACCACCCCTCCCTTTAATCCGTTTCTCTTAATCGCTCTTCTCTTAGCACCCTCTGGATATGACCCCCGCGCTCCTGGACTCGACCTTCTGGCTGCTGTGTATTTAAAGTTAGACGTTTTGTACAGTGAGTTTTTTTATATGCACTTTTTCGCCTTGAAAGCTAGCAGTTTAAACTGCCTCCTAGCCGAGCTTTTTGATGCGCCCTCGGAATTGTGAGCTGTCATCCTGGTCCCGGGGCAGCAGGGCAAGTTAAGCATTACTTCTTCGGGATCACGCTGAGTGTGGGTGGATTCTGTGGCTTCGAAAGCCACTGCCCTTTCTCGTTGGACAATTCAACGAGAACCTCCGAGCAGCGGGAGGACGCGGCCCCCTGCTTCGGGATGGTCACCCGCACCCCAACCCCCGCCCCCAACCAGAGCCACACAGGAAGCCCCAAGGTCCGGTGGAAAAACAACCGCGGATGCCTGGCAAGCACCACCCAGAGTCTCCCACCTTGACGCATCTGCCTTCAGACACATCGACCTGTGCTCTCAGCAGCCACAGTTGGCTCTGCCTGGTGAGAGGGCAACATCCACTTCAGGCCCAAGTGCTTCCCTGACACCAACTAGGAGCCAGCCCTGAAACATTTCTGTTTGGGGAGGATATATCAGGTCTGATCAAGAGCCACTGCTTCAACCCTTTATTCCAGGAGTT